CCTATTGTTGGATTAATGAATCCAAGGGTAGAGGAAAAGGAGAAAATGTGTAAATATGAAGAAGATGATGAATAGTGTAGCCTCCATTGTTTCCTCCACCTCCCCTTCCTCTTCTGAGAAGAGGGGTATAAATAGGGAGAGTTAGGGTTAGGGTTTGAGCATACATACAAACTAATGGGCCGGCCCAACAGACTGGGCCGCCCCTAAAAAGTAATTAATACACGGCAAACGGGCTTGTCCAACAGACTGGATCACCCCGACTAATTTTATACAAAGACCGGATACCCCCTGTCCAGGGTATCCATCATGAGTCCCCCACTTTCCGAGCCGAGAGGAACTCGAGGTGAAGTGGAAGTAAACAATAATCCACCACTGAAGGGCACCGTCTTCCTTGTTGTCTAGAGTGCACCGCCAACTCGCTGTCCCGAGAACGGTGAAGTAAGGCAAGCAATGCCATCAATCGGAGAATGTGATGCCAACTCGCTGTCCGGAGTAAAGCGAGGTGAAAGAATCTGCACCCATGGATATGAGGTGCATTGCCGACTCGTTGTCCGGAGTGGCCAAGTAAAGAAATCGTAGCACTGAGCACGATGTGCGCTGCCGACTCGCTGTCCGGAGCGGCACGGTAAAAGAGTATGCCCCAATCTGCTCATTGTCTTGAAAGGTTCTGCTCTCGTACAAAGGGCATCGTCGGTTTGCTGTTCAGAGTGCATGAATAAGTCGTCATCCTCTCACAATCCCGTCAATGTGTGACCCACTCCACGAGGGATGCCTCATTAAAAACTTGCCGAGGAAAAAACCCATGAGGATGGGAAAAAATCCTCGGTCAAGAAAAGAGTACATCTCGTCCCATAGAGTACATCAAGAAAACATTGCTAGGGTGTGAGGTCTTCTGTGTGAATCTCAGAAGAGGTGATCTTCAAGTCCCCCGGACTCGTTGTCTGGAGTCGAGGGCTATTCATCATAGTGTATTGCCGACGAGTGCATGTTGACACGGACTGCTGCGGTCTAATACAAGGTCGGGATGCCGATCGCCAACCTCTCCTAATGTGAGACGTAACAATCACGAGCCGAGCACCCGGAGTCCCCCACTCCCTAAGCCGAAGAAGAACTCTGAGGTGAAGGGGAGTAGTGTCCATGCTTGGCTCCGGTGGGAGTCTCTGGCCCATTCACGAGATGGCCGAGGCCGAGGCCGAGCTTGAGTGCCTCACGAGGTGGCTGAGACCGAGCTTGGGTGCCTGAGGCCGAGCTTGAGTGCCTGAGGCTGAGCTTGAGTGCCTCACAAGGTGGTCGAGGCTGATCTCGAGTGCTCCACGAGGTGGTCGAGGCCGAGCTCGAGTTCCTCACGCGGAGGCTGAGGCCGAGCTCGAGTGCTTCACGCAGTGGCTGAGGCCGAGCCTGGCCTACTCAACTTCTAACCTGCGAAATAACTTCAAAAAAGAACACAAGGCACCCGCGGGCTCGGATGGACCGATCACCACGCGGCCGAGAAGAGTAAGTCAACGTATGAGTTGGGTCCAAAGTTTTGGGCAAAAGATAGGCCTGATCAACGGAGTGCGCCGATCGTGTAGTAGTCTGGTCCAGAACAAACCTTGACGTCATCCTAGTGAGATCGGGTTCTTGAAATGGGAGCTGCTCGGGTAAGTGAGATAGGCACAAATAATGCACCCCTCGCCTTAGATCCGAGAGCCAAAAGTTCACGTCGTGGAAGACGGATATATAGGAGTGCGTCGAGATGGACGGCTTATCTCGGCCTCGCGAATAATATCGTCGCGGACGATTTGGAGTGCCTCGCGGAGAGGGCTTACCTCAGCCTCGTGGAAGAGGAAATAAGATCGCGTCGTGGGAGACGGATGGGAGTGCGTCGCGGTGGACGTCTTACCTCGGCCTCGTGGAAGAGGAAATGAGATCGCGTCGTGGAAGACGGATATATAGGAGTGCGTCGAGATGGACGGCTTACCTCGGCCTCGCGATAATATCGTCGCGGACGATCTTCAACACCTCGTAGAGAGGTTTTACCCGGCCTCGCTAAGGAATGACTAAATGAGTTGGATCTGAGCCATGCCCAGAGGCAGGTCGCTGGCCTGTGTGGGGTGTGAGATTAAGCTTTGCGCTTGTTCCACATCAGGGCTTAAAGTGTTGAGCACAAAGTGTAATACCATCGTCCAAGTGAGGTCCGATCACATGTGGTGGACAAGGTAATAGTAATAATTATAGAGTGAATATTATCAATGATGATAATGATAATATAGTAAAAAATACGGAGTAATAAATACGGACTAGTGAAAATGTGTGTAAGAAGACTTATCTTTTTTTTGTTGCTCTCTGGTCTGAATTGTGTAGCCCCCATACGGAGCAATAATACAAAGGAACTGTTGCTTTCCTGTCAAAATGAGCGGGATGACTTAGGGAATCGGGAAAAGGTTGGAATGCAGACACCTACAGCACGCCGACCCTTCTGCGCCGGATCTGCTTTGCTGTAAAAGTCGAGATGTTCCATCTTCCCGGCTGCTCGTCTTGGTCTAGACGATGGTGAGGGGCCCTGAAACCATGGCGGCGACGACCTCGGATTTAGGCTGCAATTGCAGCGCCGAATTCCAATGGCGGTGGCAGATTCGGCTGCGGCGAGATGGGGCTGGGCGGGCAGCAACTACAGCTGGAGAATTGAATGCGACGGCGACCGAGATCCTTCCGGCGAGGATGGGATGTAGTTGAGAGCCTTCCCGGTTGAGGCATGGCGCCCCGCGACAAGGATCTCCGAACGGAGAAGGGAGCGTCCAGCGGGAATCATCGGCGGTGAGCATCGGTGTTTGGCTGCTGGATTTGTTAGATTCGGCCTGTTGCAGCGCTCGTCGGAGTGCAGGGGTCACCGATGCGTTTTAGAGTTGGGGATGTACTGTGCCAGGTTGAGCCGGCGAACGTCGACGACGAGTTCACAGGCGTAGCCGATCCTCCTGACGGCGAAGGGACGAGGGCGTGTCTCGTTTCACTGAATCGGCGGTGGAGCTGATGAAACCTCCTGGAAATCCACCTCAATGACGGGATCTGGATTCTTTTTTTTATTGGCCAAATCATCGCAGATCTTTCTTGGTGGAATTAGAAGAGGATGAATAGCACAAATCTCCCACTCTAAGTTCGGGTTTTCCAGATTAGGGAAAAAAAGTCAAAATCTGGAAAAAAAATGATGAACGAAAAATAGGGAAAAATTTTTGAGAGCACGCTTGATGTGTTCGACACTCTCAATGAAAGCACCATTGTTGGATTAAGGAATCCAAGGGTAGAGGAAAAGGAGAAAATGTGTAAAGATGAAGAAGATGATGAATAGTGTAGCCTCCATTGTTTCCTCCACCTCCCCTTCCTCTTCTGAGAAGAGGGGTATAAATAGGGAGAGTTAGGGTTAGGGTTTGAGCATACATACAAACTAATGGGCCGGCCCAACAGACTGGGCCGCCCCTAAAAAGTAATTAATACACGGCAAACGGGCTTGTCCAACAGACTGGATCACCCCGACTAATTTTATACAAAGACCGGATACCCCCTGTCCAGGGTATCCATCACCTATATATATATATATATAAATATATATATATATATATGTGTGTGTGTGTGTGTGTGTGTGTATATATATATATATATATATATATATA